AAATCACCCCCCGGGGAATTGCCAGCCGCAATCCCTTCTCCTCCATTCTCCTCTCAGGATTTTGGGCACGCACGCACACATGCCGGGTGTGAGTTTAATCCACCGGGTCTAGGACTCGAACCACGGTTGACTACATGGGAGTCCAGCAACATAGCCATTATGCTAGCTACTGGTCCCAGATTCACTAAGATTTTAATCATACCTAATTCTCCTTAGCCAGGTAGGGACCTCCTGACTCACCAATGTAGTCATGAACACATGGGAGTTAGTGTTCATATGTGTAGATTTCTGATCAGGTGGCTCACTGTTGGCAAATGTTGGATTTCTCTGCTGAAGAACATTTCCAGAACTAATAATTTATAATTCTAAATTATAGATTATTCCAGTCTTTTCTTCTTGATCCACATAATAATGAGAGCTATTGAAAGTCATTAATGATGAAATGTTTCTTAATCTCAAGTATATTTTCTTTTAAAAATTATTTTATTTAACTTTATTATTATTATTTTTCAGTTTGATCAGACTCACACACAGAGAAGAGAGAGAGAGAGAGAGAGAGAGAGAGAAAGTGAGAAAGCAAGCCACCAAGTCCAGGATTTGAACCATGGTCGACCATGTGAGAGTCCAACACCCTTAACCACTATGCCACCTGCTGGCCTAAGTATATTTTCTTTTGACCATTGGGAGCAAAGTAAAATATTTTACTAATAAACACAAGCAATGCTGAATATGAAGACTATATTAACAGAAGTAGAGTAAGAATATATTAATAATCTATAAGAATATATTAATATAAGAAGGTCGGGGAAGAAGAACGTAGTATTTTGAGGACAGTAATTGGAGCTAAGCCAAAAATGTGTCACTTCTCAATGATTCATAAATGCTTACTTAGATACACATCCACACACATTCCAAGAATATATTGAATTATTTTCATTTTCCACTAGTTTATGAGGGGGGAAGAAAAGAGGCTACAGGGAAATCTCTATTGGATGAAATGGCACTTTTTTGGTCATTCGAAACCCTTCACAACCCAAACACGTTTTCATTGCATCTCCTCTAATTCCCTCTGCCATCCCTCCACTCCCACTCCCCAGTGGATCTCATTACTCCGTAAGGCACTCTGCACTTCCTACCTCTGCTCATGGCTCAGGCTGCTCCCTCTGTGTGGGATGTCCTTCCTCATATCCAGTCTATTTGACAAACTCAGTCATTTCTCATGACCCAACTGAATGTGACCTGTCTTCATAAATATCTCTACATTTCCCCCCAGGAATAAAGTATTTCTTTGACCTGTGTTATAGTTATTGTTCCTTATTCTCATCCATTGCTACCATCTTTGGAGTAAGGACCATACTTTCATTTATAGCTTCTAATACAGAGCAAACACAATAAAAACCTGCCAAAGTGATTAGAATCATATGTGCATGTAGCACAAAAGGAGATATCCTGATTCAGATAAAATATATGCTGTCTTTTCATTCCTTATATATACCTGGAAAGTAAAAAGAAGGCAGGGGGAAATAGAAGTCACCCATAGCCTTACTCCCTCAAAGGAGTCATTAATAGTTTAGTATGTATATTTCCTCCTGAAGCATGCTTTTAAGAGGATTGCTGGTTTTACAAGTAGAAAAGTACCTACATGACCGATCAAATGATCCTAATTGTTGACTTTGCTATTCCTTTGTTAGCTCACAGAAAGAATCATCATCCTTTTTGTGGTAATCACCAGTCAAGAGGAAGTCCAAGAGAAATATGTGGTGTGTGTTTTATTCATCTTTTGGAATCTATTGGATATGGTTAGGTAAGAAGGCGAAATAATCTCTTAAAACAAGATCAAATTGCTTTTTACAGTGAAGGCAGTAATAGCTGCTTACATTCGGTTACTCTGAATTGGAGAGAAAAACGTAACTCCTTTTCAGATTATTTTATCTTGATATGGAAATAGATTTTTTAGTGCTTTCTATAATGGGCATAGCAAAGATAATGAAAACCTACTGTGGCATTACAAGAGCAAATCAATGCATTCAAGTTTCTAGCAGAAGGCTTGGCATAACACCAAGCTGGAATAAACCTCACAGCTGTTTGCTAATGAAAGGCATTCTTAGATTGTTTCTAGTACGTGTTTCTTCAATAAGCAAAGTAGGACTTCTATTATATCATTGTCAGAATTTACGAAGTTGGTTTCTATAAATTCAAGAATATTTTAAATAGAAGGTCTCATCTCTCTGGGAAACAAATGCACTTTCACATCTATTTTTGTAAAGAATTTCAGTGAGTTCAAATGACTAACTCAAGTTCTCTTATGGAACTGAGAGCTAGTTCTGAGAGCTCTAGTTCTTCAGTTTCCCTCTAGTTATAAAACTTGGCCATGAGATGTGCCTTGTCTGATCCCTCTTAGCAGTGGTGTAAAATAGTCCCCTTTGCCTGGTAAGCCTTTATATTTAATTTTGGGTAAATCACTTATTATTTTTAATTACATATTTATTGAGATATAATTTATATACCATAAAATTAACCCGTTTAAAACATAAAATTTGCAAGTTTTTGTATATTGAGGAAGATGTGCAATGATCACCGCTGTCTAGTCTAAAAACATGTTCCTCACTAACCCACTAGCAGTCTTTCCCAGTCCATCCTTCCCCTGCCCCTGGCAAGCACTCACATATCATCTTTATGCATTTTTCTATTCTGGAAATTTCACATAAACCGAATTATGCAACATGTAACTTTTTGTGACTGGCTTCCTTTAATTAACATGTTTTCAAGGTTCCAGATTCACCTATCCATGTAGATAATATCAGGACTTCACTGCTTTTTATAGCTAATGTTCTATGTATTGCTATTCCAGCTTCTGGCCATGAGGAATACTGCTATGAACATCATGTACCAGCTTTTGTGTGCATATGTTTTTGTTTCCCTTATATTTAGGAGTAAAATTCTTGAGGAACCAACCATTTAAAAAAACTATTTTTATTTTCCTCTGTAAATTGGGGTACAAATACCTTCCCAACTTACCTTAAAATAACTTTTTTTTTTTTCCTATAAGTAAGGGCCTGGGAGCTTCCTCAACCTGATAAAAGACACATATGGAAAAAAAAAAATCCAGCGTTAACATAATAGTTCATCTTTACTCCCAAGATCAGGAACAAGACAAAAAGACACACTCTTGTCACATCTATTCAACACTGTACTCTACGTTCTCGCCATAGCACTTAAGCAAAACGAACAAACAAAACACCAATATAAACCCCATCTTGGGCAGAACTGATCAACAGTTCTAGAAGTCTTGTGGCTGACTGAAGGTTCAGATCTCAAGTCAGCCTTAGACATATTAAGGGTGCATGCATGCCCAAGAACCTGGCTGGCTGGAGGGCTAGAAGAGGATTGTGATGAGATGAGACCCTGTCAAAAATACTTGTGTTATTCTCTGTCTCTCTCTTACACACTTTCATGAAAGATATAGAATAAACTTTAGGAAATTACAATATCAAACTCACCCATACAGAAAAGAAAAAAGTAAAATAATCTCTATTAACAGATGATGTCATCTTATACATAAATCATAAGGAATCCACTAAAACACAGTGAGCTGGTAAATTTAGCAAGGTTGTAGAATACAAGATCAATATACAGAAAATGCAATACTCTTTAAATTGATCTATATAATCAGTGTAATTCCTATTAGAATCCCAGCTGGCTTCTTTGCAAAAATTGAGAAGTTGACCCTAAAACTCATATGGAAACTTAAGGAACCCAGAATAGACAAAACAGTCTTGAAAAAGAACATAGAATACTAACACTTCCCAATTTTAAAACTTAACTACAAAGCAAGAATAATAAAGAGTGTAGTATTGGCATAAAGATTGATCATGAAATAGACCCGATAGTCCAGAGACAAATGCTCACATTTTTGGTCAATTAATTTCAACAAGGTTCCCAAGTCAATATGATGGGGAATGAACAGTCTTTTCAACAATCAGTGTCTAGGACAATTGGATACCCATATACAAAAGAATGAAGTTGGACCCTTAGTTCACATCTAATAGGTAAAAGTAAAAAATCTTGGAAAAAATAGATGTTAGTCTTCATGACTCAGGATTTATCAATAGCTTTTTATATATAACACTAAAACCTCAAGCAGCAAAAGAAAAAAAATAGACAAATGGGCTTTATAGAAAAAGACGTTTATTTATTTTTTAAAGTTTATTTCTTTCTTCCATGAGTACAAGGTAGAGACAGAGAAATAGGCAGCTCTCACAAGGTCTTCCTGCTGTAACTCACCTCCCAGGTTCAGCCAGCCTGGATCACAGGCACGAACATAGCCACAGTGTTCTGAGAGGTGAACACCAGACGTGAACCCAGACCTTCCCATGAGTCAGCCTTGCAGAGCATTGCATTATCACTGCTCCACTGTCCAGCCCCCAAAAGTAGCTTTAGTACACACATATGAGAAGATGCTTATCCATTCTTCTAATAGAAAGAAAAGATAGTAAGATACCATTTCCACTTAGATTTATAAAATTTAATGACATCATTGAGAGCTTGCACTGTTGGTATATATTATATGTAGTAAGTATATACATAAATATGCACATATGAAAATATTTTTCAAAGAATACACAAAAATTGGCATCGGTCATTGTCTCTGAGGAATAGAATTTGGGCTCTGCAGTAAGAAAGATTTCTTTCTCTTCATTTGTGTTTCCAATGCTTTTTCTGTTGTTTGGTTTTCCAGTACTTATCTATTGCCTATACCAGTTGTACTCAAAGTTTGGTTCCTGGACCAGTGACCCTGGGATCACCTGGAACGTGTTAGTAATAAAAATGTGCAGGTTCTACCTCAGACCCACAGAACCAGAAATTCTAGGCACAGAACCCAGCAATTTGTGCTTTAACAAGCCATCTGGGTCATATATATTTAAGCTCTAAGAACCACTGTCCTATTCAAAGAAATAAAAAGATGTGATGTAGTAGCTGAGGTAGTCTACAGTGATAGGTTTAAAGCCAGCTACTGCACCAAGGCCAGTTTTTTAATTGATCACTTAAGGTGGCACACCTACGAAAGCATTGTGATGCCAGTAAGAATTTAGAAGCCACGTTTTTATGTTTAAATTCGTCTGTGATATTTATGTCTATATTTAAAAATATAGTTGCTTGTTGCATAAAATGGATGTGAGTTTTAAATGAAATTAAAGTTACTAATCAAGGAAACTTGTAACTGTACTTTCTTGGGGAGTGAGAATGTC